AAAGAGGAATCTGAGGAGGAGGAGGACCGGGGCTCTGACAAAACAAGCTCCCCCCCCCGCCCCAAGAGGCAGCACCGGCTTACGTTGATCACGGAGTCCTTGAACTTGATATGGAGCCGGTAGTTGGAGAGGGCAATGATGGCGTCGGTCGCATGGCCCAGGTATTCCACGCCTTCTCCTTGCAGCACGGGAAAGGGGACCTGGGAAAGGAAGAAACTCAGCACCATGAAAGCGGCCATCTTTTGCCTGGCTGGGAAAAGGACTCTTAACCACCAAGGCGCACCCATGCAAAATGCACAGGGGTGAATTAAAATCCCACAGCCATGAGTGGCTATGCCTCCTCTCGTGACACCCCCCCAAAAAAAATTGTTTTCACTTTCTTTCTTTCTTTTTTCCTTCCCCTTTTGGACTGGGAAAAAAGGGGCTTGTTTGTTAGTGACTAAAATATATATTTTCATTAAAAAAAATTAGAGGTGTGTGGGGGATCCCGGAGTGCTTAAGACCCCCCAAAAAACATAGTGAACACCCCCCACAATTCCTGAAAGGGACTCTGAGACCCAATTTAAAAAAAACTAAACACGGTCTGGGCAGTAGAGGTCTGCTGGAGGTCTGCCTTTGGCCCCCTGGGAGGCCACATACCGTCTGTTGGCCCCACATTGCCGGCCCCAGTCGTATTCTTTGGAGACCACGTCCCAGACAAATAAATTAAATTCTAGATTAGATGGGCTGAAAATCAGGGCTGCAGTAGATGTTTGCATAGAGAGGTTTAATCCCTGGGACAGCCAGGTATGCCTAAAGAAGACTCTCGCCCGAGATGATGGGTGTACAGTGGTGCCTCACTAGACGATTACTTCGCAAAACGACAAATCCGCATGACGATGAGCTTTTGCGATCGCTATAGTACTTCGCAAAACTGTGTTTCCTATGGGCGATTTTCGCAAAACGACAACAATTTGTCCCCGTTGAAATGCATTAAATGGATTTCAATGCATTCCAATGGGGAATCGCATTTCGCAAGACAATGTTTTCACAAGACAGCGATTTCAATGGAACAGATTAACATCGTCCTGCGGGGCACCACTGGATGTGTGTGGTTACTGGTTATTTTTACATGGATTGTTATGCTTTACTGCTTCAAATGCATTTTTGGTGTTGCTTTTGTTTATTGTTTCTTAGTGTGGTGTTTGATCCGTTTTCAGTGTTTGTATACTTATGGTTCTTAGCTTTAAATATTGTCTTTTAATGATGTATGCCACCTAAGCCAATACTAACAACAACAACAACAACAACAACAGTGAATGAAACACACTTCAGTGGTCCCCATAGTCAGAGGGGCTTTGGGAACAATATCAAGAAATTTCACACAGTATTATAAGCAGCTGCAGATCTCAGAAATCACAGCACCATCAGAGCTACAAAAACCAGCAGTATTAGGAACGGCCTACATACTGTGCCAACATTTAGCAAATACTTAGGTTTTTGGTTTTGTATCTGTTATATAATGCCTGTCAATGTTTTTTTTTTAAATAATTTTGATTGCTGGTGCCTGGTGCCTTTGAATAACAACAATTATTTTAAAAGCCTTTTTTTTTCTTTTTAAAGGGTTGGAGGACCATAATCTAAAAGGAGAATCAAGAGTGGACCACCGTTCTTGGCGGCCAGCCGGCCTTTCACTAGAGCTGTGTGTCTCAGGCCTCTCTGTTTTTCCTGCCAAAGCACCAAGGAGCATCTTTCCTTGCTGGTTAAAAATAGATGTACTTTTTTTTTTGCTGGTGAGCAGGGAAAGCTTAAAACCTCCAGGTTTTCTGTGAAACTGTCACAGGGCTGGGGGGGGGGCAGAGGGAGGAAACGGAGTTTTCTGGAGTGCAGTTTAGCTGGTAGCATCGCGAGGAATAATCCCGGCAATGCTTCTCTTGGGGCTTTCGGAGTTCTGATGATTTTTTTTTTAAAAAAATATCTTTCAGAGAGGATTGGCTGCAACTTTGAAGCAATGCTATAGAATGTGATCCGAAAGAAGAGGAAAATAAAATCGGCTCGTGGGAGGCCTTCTGTCTTGTTAACAATTCCCGGTGGCCATCCTGACACAGCAAAATGGACAGCGATCAAAGGCGTTTGAATGGAAGCAGACGGGACACCTTTTAATTGCTCCCATCTTTACCTGCAGCCATTTTCCCCAGCACATACATGCCTGGAAACGCATAGGCGTTATTGCTCCCACATGCGCCACCCGGTCCAAAATTACACTTCGCATCTCTCTTTTTCACTTGTCTGTCTGGAGTCAGTACTCGGATCCAGAACGGTTTTGCAAAAGCCACGTAAACAGACCATGTGCGAAATTAAAAAAACAACAACAATATGGTAAAAGCAACCTCCTGATAAGTAGTTTATTTGTGCCGTGCCAAAAAAGCTGGCTTAAGGAGGACGTTTCATGGTTCTCCTCGAAAAGGTGCCGGCAAAGCTCTGGAGCAGAAAAAGACATGCCTCATGAGGCAACCCATGGAAGTCCCTCAAAGAGCGAGAGGAAAGTTTTGAGCTGTGATTTATTTCCCTTTAAACATGAGGTGGGGGACATATGGTCTGGCCTATGGGTGGCCAGCAGCTCTCCAGAGCCCCAGTAGAAAAAACAAACAAACAAAATCCTATCCATTCCCCCACTTTTTTTTAATGCCAAGTGTGTATTTCCATTCTTGAAATCCTTCACACTACCCCCCCCAAAAAAATAAAAACCCACCAAGAGAAACTTAGAAGGGCCTGTCTTTTTGCTGAGGCCAAGAACTGGTCTACGCAGCCACTGCGGTTGCCAAACCCTTCTTGAAAGGTATGAAATGTTTAAAAAGCATTGAAACACAAGAGCCAAGGAACACCCCCAGGACTGATGGCTGGAGAATTCTCTTTACGTTTGCCCTGAGTTTAGGGGCTGTGGTCCTTTGCTTAAACCCAGGATATTCTCTGATGCAAAGTTAACCATCTTCACCCCGGCCATCCTCCTCTCAGAAACAAACGGCCCTTTTTCTAAGAGGCCAAACACTCTCCGCCTTCTAAGCTCCTGGGAAACGAGGAGGCCAATTAACCCAATCAATATGTGATTTCCTTAAATATCTCTACCAACACAACGGAGCCGAGCTAGGCTGAGCCTCTGAACAGCAGGCAGACAGTTTGAAGGAGTAAATTCAATTAAAGTTAAGCTATACGATATGGAAGGACGTACACGGTCTCACACGGCAGCCCTGCGCTTTTGCTCCTAACACCGGTGCCTGGCAAAGGTCTCTGTGTGACCCTAAAAGCCGGAGCTGTTCTCTTAACTGAAATATTTCAGCAGAACCCTGTTGGTGATTTATACCAGCTTAAGTGCAATGGGGGTCAATCACAAATCTGTGGAGGCGATTTAGGCCACGGCAGTACATCGACATAAATGACCATTATTTGGTTAAAAAAAAAGCCTCAAGATTGTATCACACATGTTGCTTGTCCTGAGGCAACAACATGGCTTTTTAAAGTGGTACCAGGAATCATGTGATTGTAAAGGCCAAGTTTGATGCCCGAGCTACCAAGAGACCATGGTGTGCTTGGGCCACCGCCTGCTGCCAGCCAGCTGTTTAACAGAGTTTCACTGCTCCTGGCTGAGAAGCTCAGCACTGCAAACTGATGATCCACCTACTACCTTTTTGGACTTAAGTCTGGAAGCTTCAGCTTTTGAGAGTCCGAGAGGGAAGACTCTTTACCCACCACGAGTCCCCCTCCGGGCTTAAGGGTGCACAATGTCAGACCTGCTAGGATCTCCATGTGAGGTGTGGGGGGGCTTACCTGTAAAGACTCTTCTTCTTTAATCAGCTCTTTGTGGGGGAACAGGTCCTTGGCCTGGATGTATTCCAGGCTGGGGGGGCCTTCCTCACCCTGCAAGGCAAAAGAACAAGAGGCAACACTTAGGGAGGCCCCACGCAGTACATCGGGCAGAGCAGACAAGACAGAAGGCTCCTCTGGACCTCACTGCCAATGGGCCCCGATGCACGCCCCTCCCATCAGCGCAAGCCTGGTGCAAACCTTTGCTTCTCGGGCAAGGAAAATGCAAGAAATCCGAGAGGTCAGCAGGTTGGGAGAACATCACACAGACTATTTGGATTGCTTATAGCAAAACAAACAAACAAAAAACAAAAAAACTGGAAGCAGACCTGGGATTTTCAGATGTGAGAATGGTATGATGAAGTATGGAATACATATACTTATGATGGATGAAGTATGGAATACAGCAATGAATGATAAACTAAGTTCACAAATTAAGTTTTTAAAAAAGAGAGAGATAAAGATAAACAGATATAATGAAATTTGGAAGCAGGTAAAAGGAAAAAACAGGCAATGAACATATGTATTTTGGGAAGGATTTTGGGATAAAAGAGAGAGATAAAGATAAACAGATTTAATGAAATTTGGAAGAATTTATAAAAGCAGGTAAAAGAAAAAAACAGGCAATGAACATATGTATTTTTGGAAGGATTTGGGGGGTGGATAAAAGAGAACAAAGATTATAATTGTAAGTAAAAGTATGTAAAATATAATGGTCTCTAGGGGGTGGAGGATGCACTCGTATTTTGTGTACATGCATTATGTTTACGTGTTAATAGTACATGTCTTTTGTCTTACCTTGTAATAAATTATTTTTTTAAAAAACCAAATACATAAAACAAGTAGTTCACAGCCAGGAAAAAAAGGAAGAAACAAACAAACAAAAACAAAGAAATCAGAGAAGCTGGCAGAATGGGAAAACATTACACAGACAATTTGGAAGCAAAGATGGAGCCCAAGAATCGTGTTTACACTGAAGGAAACCTGTCCTCACTTTCCCAAAGGATCTGGTTTGCACTGCCTATGATTTTTTTATTACTAACTTCATTTATTCAGCATCAAATTAGTTAAAAGTGTCTATTAAAAACCCCTACAAACCACAGCAGAAAGTACAGCACAATCCGTTTCAGACAGAAGCCCTGGAACACAGCCACCTGCAGCTAGTATGCAACACACCAAATCAGGATGTGGCCCATTCCTTCCATGCCTGAAATTCAAGGATCAGCCAAGGCACAAATGGAGAAAAAGGGGGTGGGGGTGGCAGCGCGTGGCGCTCTCCAGAAGGATGGCAGACACTGCCATAAACCATGAACACAACCCCAGTGCAGAGTAACTGGCGACTGTGTGGGTGAGGAAGGAGGTGCGATGGCCCTTCAAGGTAGGCCAGGCAAACCATAAATCACTTTCTCTTGACAATAACTGGGTCTGGATCCTCCTCCATCACCACCCCGGGCAACCTCTGCTTAAGAGGAAGCATCAGCCTTTCCATGACACACCAACATTTTCCACTCAAGAAGGAGCCCCAACCGTAAAGCTGTGGGGCCCTCAAAGACTGGGAGGTATCTGGAATTCATAGGAACCAACATCGTTTTGTTTTTTTAAAAGAAGCAGGTGGGGGGGGTGTTTGTTTTTGGGCAGCCTCAGTGTCTGCTTGCATTTACAACACTCTATATTTCCCTGGAAGGACAGATCCTGAAGATGAGGCTCTGTCCTTCCATCTCATGGGAAGAGACGATTCCCTGGAAGAAACCCTGATGTTGGGAAAATGTGAAGGCAAGAGGAGAAGGGGACGACGGAAGACGAGATGGCTGGACAGTGTCATCGAAATGACCAACGTGAATTTGACCCAACTCTGGGAGGCAGTGGAAGACAGGAGGGCCTGGCGTGCTCTGGTCCATGGGGTCACGAAGAGTCGGACATGACTAAACAACAACATATTTCCCTGCCATGTATGTCATGGTCTTAGGAGGCTGTATTCACCCATCAAGGACACAAATAAAAGACCAGACTGCTTTTTCCACCTGTCTATGTGTGTGTTTTTTTTAAACAAGTACAATTAAGGATATTCAAAGGTCGACCTCAGAAAACATAGACTTGAAAAAAAGCAAAGCAACCCTGAAGGCGGCAAATCCTGGTTTTTTTTTCTGACTTGGGTTCTGGATGATCGGTGCAGAACACTTTAATCTTAGGATAATGCCTGACGCTGTGGACTCCGCCCGAGGCAATGAGGGCCACAGCTCTGAGCCTTCGAGACACTTGGGCAGAATCCCCCCATCTTGCAAACACAGTCCCTCCTTTGCATAGGAAAGGCCACGCTCATCCCAAAATCTCAGAAGCTTTGCCAGACACCACCAAGTAGGCATCGTTGGCTACTTCAGAGGTGGACTGTTTGTGGATGCTGCCAGTCTATCACTACCCAGCACAGACTAGCAACATCTGGAAGGCCCAGCTAGAGGGACCTTATTCGGGTTTCCCAGGATCATTGGGTATTAGACCCAACAGGCCAGCTTGACACACCGGCAACTTCGTTTGCTTCCGTTTTACTTCCAGATCTCAGAGCCGTCGGCACTTTTAACTTCAGAACAGGATCAATCAAGCAGCATGGTGAAAATTGATGCAACTTTTCCACCTTCGGAACGTGACAATGCCAGGACTCCGTCCCACCCATACACGGTTTTGACCACACCACGGCAAGGGATCTGTTTTAAAGCCTAGGAGAAAACTGATTTTCGATGCCCCTCTGATCCAATTAGGGACACCCCGCCTTTTTTATTTGTTCCAAGGGCTGAAAGCTCTGTGGTCTGACACTGACAGAAACCAGAATTTCTCGGGGAGATTAAAATTCTCTTGGAAACACCCCCCCAAAAATGACATCATCCTTCATTGAAAATTCAGCACGGAAACATCCAAGTTCAGCCCCTTCTAAACAGGCTTTTTTTTTGCTCCTTTTCTAGCTTTACCAGATCTAGATCGGTACCTTTTGTTAGGCTCCCTATGGAAGGGTGGAAGGCTGCCGGAGAGGCGTTTCAGAGGCTAAGCCAGGAAGCTTAGGGGGCAAATGTTTTACGAAAAGGCATTAAAGAGACGGCGAGGGCTTAATAACAGTTACCATCCTGCTGCCGGGTTGTCCACTGTTTTGCAACAAGGGCAACCCAAGGCTGTTCTTCACCCTGGATACGTGAACTTGCTTTTTAAAAAGTTACTGCTCTCAGGAGGAACTCTGTGACCCATGAAAAAAAAAGATGCTATAGAGAATGTTACTACTCTAAGGGTGCCTTTGGTGGAAAGGAGACCTCCTCCGAAGGACATCCCCACTCTCCGTTTTGATCACAGCTTTTAAGCTTCCTGGTGAAAGGCTGGTTTGATAAGCAGCCAAATAGTACCAGGGTTTGCCTTGAACCACCTTGGGTTTACACAAGAAAACACAACATGCAGGGCTGTGTACGCGTGTGGGTATACTCAAGATGGCAGTGCCGGATCCATGATTGATGTCTCGGCCATAGAAACAGAGGTGGCTGGGTTTGTTTTGCCTTTAAAAAAAAAAAGGAATATGTGGCTCTTGTTAGTCCCAAGAGGGTGGAGAGATGGCTGCGTGGGTGCCTGCCCAGGGCTCTCGGATGGGGAAATTCAGCCAGGACTTGAGGCTGGGCAAAATTGGAAAACGGCCCAAGCCAAGCCTGCCTGGTGGCTATTTATTGCTCCAGTACAAGGGCCCTGGGGTCAAACTGCAACACTGCCCCTCTCTCTGTGGCCTGAAATCTGGCTGTCAGGGGCTTTAAAAACTGAACCACGGGGTGCAAGACACTCATCAGCGATGCGGGGGGGGAGGGAAGGGGTCCCAACATCTGGCTGCTGAGATAAAATCTGAAATGCAGAGTGATTTCTCCTTTTTTGTGGGAGGGATAAGGGAGGAATAAGGGCCACATCTTGGGGTCTTGGAAATTCAGCACTAGCCATAGGCTTAGGTCTTCCACATTGCGGGGGGGGGGGGTACACACACACACAGAGAAATTCTCCATACATAAAATGCATGCATGGGTGTGCTCACACGCATCTCCAGAGGACACAGACCGATCGCTATCTCCTGCTCTGTTAGTCTATGGCTACATTAGAGATTTAAAAGGGCTAGTTTTTTTGACTACGAGTCCCAGAATTCCCGCCAGAGTCAGGATGTCCACCACAGTTCTGTTACGGCAAGGCAAGCCTGCCCTTTCTTGCCGCAGGTGCTTGCTTTGCTGGCACCTCCTAAGGGAAAGAAGCCCAAGGATGCCCAATGAAACCAGCCCAAGTGGCCCCATCGTCCTCTGTCCACCCCTTCTGCTCCCGGACAGTGAGGTTCATCATGGCATTTACAGCCAGCCTCACGGGGGCACAGCCACACCAGATCGCAGGCAGCTGCCCCCCCCACTTCAAATCCAGACCTGGTGAGCCTCAGGTACCTTGGGGTCCTGCTCTCCCAGCCCCCCGCCATCTCCCCCCGGCTATGCTGCTCCTTGGCGCACCGGGCACTGTCTTGCCCATCACGATGCCAGGCGCTGCAGGGTGAGTCACCCTGCTCCCCATCTCTCCTCCTGCATGCCGCGTATGCCACGTATGCACAGAGGCGTAAAGCCCAAGGTGTGTGGAGATGGGTGCACCTATGGGTGTGTGTGTGTGTGTGTCAGGGGAGAATTGTGTGAAAAGTGCACTCTTTCCGCCGAGTGCCAGTGGCTCCTTTCCTCTCACCCAGGGCCTTGCATGTTCTCCCCCCCACCCCGGTCCACTGTTTGGGCTCCTAGCTCAGCCTCCTCAGGGAGATGCTGCTCCACCAAACTTCCTCCGGGCCTCTTCCTGCAGCAGGCCCCGGGCAGCATCCTAGCAGGATCGGTCCTCAAGGGGCTGAGCCCGAGGGAGGGGCTGCACTGAGTACCTGCCCTTGGAGCAGCAGCCAGCCACGGGCGGCCAGGGATGGGAGGCGGGCGCAGGGCACGCTCTGACGAACCTGGTTTCCCACTGGCATGATCCAGGACACCCGCCCCTGCTTGTCCCCTTCAAACAGACAGTGGTGGCGGCTG